TGGGGGATCTCCAGAGTCTGTCATATAATCTGGGGCAGGGCCTAGGCCCTCCCCTATGTGTCCCTCAAAGTCCTTTCATACACCAGGGATAAATACTGATCTACTACTTGAGGCCCCATAGATTGCCTAGGCCTCCTCACTGACACCAAAATTTAGGAGGTCTGGATCAGCCCCATGCTGGCCTCTCAGCCATCAATCTGGGGTCCATGAGCTCCCACTTGTTCAGGTCAGCAGTTTCTGTGGGTTTCTCCAGCCCACTCTTGACCGTTCCACAATAAAAGTGTGGCTTGGGAAAAGGCATAAGTGTGACATGGTGCTGTCACACAAGTGAACTCCTTAGATGTCCTGTAACTTCACAGGCACAGTAGAGGAGAGGGGGCCAGTGTCAGACTGGGGCCATCTGGCTCTTGCAGGTTGGTTATGGGCCTCTAGGAGTTGAGGAAGACCTCACGTGAGGCATGGGAAACTCAAGGGGGTCAGTTCTCCCATGTCGTGATTGGAACAATTAATGCTTGGTCGCTGGCACGGGTGGGCAGTTAGTTACTGGTAGACAGCTTTCATGGTTTGCTTTCTCCTTGTTTCAGGATTTCCTTCAAATGCTGCTGGAGAGCGTTCCAGAAGACAAAAGGTGAGGACCAGCATAGGAATCAAGAGCCCCATTTCGCTTTTAATGTGGAGAAGGTCCTACCATCGTTTGACCCGCTGTTGCAACTTAAGGCAGTTGAGATTTCCTCTCTGCATGAAGGAATCTGGTGCAGCTCTAGAGTCACAGCTTGGCCAGAACCCAGGCTGGGGCCAGGGCGGCATACACAACCCAGGACCCCTCGGTGTGGAATAGGAAGCTCGCCAGGGGCACTCGGGGGCTAAGAATGGAGGTGAGGACCCCACAGTAGAGTGCTTGCTGTTATGAGAAGGTCGGGGACTGCTACCCTAGCCCCTGCCTTATTTCTTAAAACAATAAGCAGATTAAGTAAAACAACAGAGAAGAATGAGTGTGGTTTTGTATAAGAGCATACCGTTTAACTAGAACAGAGATGTGCCGTAAGAGCCTGGGGTGGCAGGTAAGCTTTGCTGCCTCCTGTCATTGTCATCGCGTATCTGTTGCTATGATAAAATACCTGACAAAAAGTGACTTGGGAGAAACGGATTAATTTTAGTCACAATTCCAGGTCATGGTCTATCATTGTGGCAAAGTCAAGACAGCGGGAGCCTCAAACAGCTGGTCACATCACATTGATCATCAAGAGCAGAAAGAATGCTAAAAGTGATGCTTAGTGTCCAGTTAGCCAGCTTGTCCCACATCAATCAAGGCAGTCAGGCAGTCTCCTATAGACATTCCCACAGGCCAACTCACTCATCGAGACTGTCTTCCTAAGTGATTCTAGGGCTGTGCAGACTGGGTGGTTAAAACTAACCATCATACTTTGTAATTTCAAAATCTGGAACAAGTCATTTAAACCCTTGTGGACAGTATTATAGCGGGGGTTAAAAAGTTGATACCGGTGTTTAAACTAGGTGCTCATTTGAGATGGTTGTTGTGTCCATTAAAGCATAGCCACGTCCTGTGCACAGCAATGCACACAGTCTATGTGCATTGTCATCAGCTCCAACTCTAATGTTCTCATAATCACCATCAGAGAGATTAGTAGAAAACAACACTGATTATCATGCTACTCCATCCTTGGAACAACACCCTCACTTGGGGTCTCATGGATGGCAGGCTAGCCTCAAACTCCCTGCATCACTGAGGGTGGCCCTGAACTTCCGAACCTCCTGCTTCTACCTCCTGAGCATGGGGTCACAGTTGTGCATCACCACTTATAACGTATGTGATGCCGAGAGTCAAACCCTCATGCATGCTAGGCAAGCACTCACCCAACTGAGTAGCATCCTGGGTGAACAACGCTCTTTTGCATGTGATGTTTTTATCCCTGTTTGACCAGTAAGACAACTGAAGGAAACTGACACCAATCACCGGTCTGTACCTCGGGCCCCCATGTGGAAGTCTGGCTCCAGAGTTGGGGAAGCTGTGGCTCCAGAGGTAGCTTTTTCCCCAGTGTGTAAGCCAACAGGGACTGGCTCCATCCTGAGACCTTCTATCCCCATGCTCAGTGCAAGTTGCCTGACACTCAGGGTTGGATGTGGTCATTTGGGGGAACCTGGCCTCATATGGCTGCTAGACAAAGACAAAGCCTCTGTTACAGATCCAGACGCCTCCACCGTGGGTCTTGTAACGCCTGTCCTAGCGCCTAAACATAAACACCTGAAAGCATAGTCTCTAATAGCAAAGCTGGCATCCAGACATTGAAGGGGGACTTTGTGAGCAATTTAAGAGTCACTCTGTGGAAAGGCTGACATTAGTTTTCTTCCTCTGCCCTAAGGGCTTAGCTGTGTTTTTAATGTATGTAAACATTTCCAAGTGTGGACATGAATTCTTTGACACAGATATTGTCTTAGACTCATGCAAGGCCAGTCACTTTTATGTCGCCAAGCCTGACTGATAAGCAGTCTAAATTAGACGTCTCAGGGGTGAGGCATTATGAGGATGACTGGCTGTGAGGACATGGAGAATGTTTTTCTGCATATTGGATTCCCCTCTGTTGAAACCTCCCTCTTTGCCTCCTTCCACCCTTCCTTTAGGAGCTGGAGGCCCTGTTGTTAGTCCTGGTTCTGTTGTGGGCTTTCTGTTCAGCACAGGGCCTCATACTTGCTAATCACGCATTCTGCCACTCAACTAAACCCTGATATTGATTTGTTTCCATGTGTGTGGGCACAGGCAGCGAGGTGCATATGTAGACAGAGGACAAATACGTGGATTTGTGGATTCTCTTCCCTTTCACCTTTAATGTGAGTTCTGCGGGTTGAACTCGGATCATCAGGCTTGCACAGCAAGCCCCTTTACCCATTAAGCCATCTTACTGAACAACACTATTTTTTTAATAAATAAAGCAGAAATATGTAACTATGAAGCCAATCCATGCATCATGCGGAGTCCACGTACTCCATAGATTCCTTGATTGTTGTCCTTCTGTGCTTTTCATTGGCAAACACAGCCTGCAGCCTGAGTGACTTGGCAAGACAATCGGCTGTTCTGGGGGCTGCTAGCCTTAAGGAACAGCCTTGTGTGGAAGCCTTGAATGTTGCAGTTTAGCATCCTGGTCTTGTTGTTTGTTTAAGTAAATGTATTGTGGTGGTGCCTTAGGTAGAATGAGTAATCATTGCTGTGATGGGGCGCCATGACCAAACCACTCGGGGAGGAAAGGGTTCACTCAGCTCACACTTCCACATCGCCGCTCATCACCGAGGGAAGTCAGGACAGGAACTCAAACAGGACAGGAACCTGGAGGCAGGAGCTGATGCAGAGGCCATGAAGGGGTGTTACTCGCCGGCCTGTTCCCCATGTCTTGCTCAGCCTGCTCCCTAATAGAACCCAGGATCATCGGGTCAGGGGTGCCCCCACCCACAATGGGCTGGGCCCTCCCCCATCAATCACTAATTAAGAAAATGCCTTCTAGGTTTTCCTGCAGCCTGATGTTAGGGAGGCATCTTCTCAATTGAAGTTTTCTGTCCTCAGATGACACTAGCTTGTGTTGACATAAAACCACCCAGCCCAGGTGGCGATTCTTCTGCAAGCATCACATCAGATGTGGTTATTTATTATTCAGGAGTAAACCTGGAATGTTTACCCATTTCCCCTAATAACTGGATGCTAAGCTCACAGCCTCATACATGCTAAGCATGTGACTGACTGCTGTACTACAGTATATGTTCTTTTCTTTATACCTGCCCTCAGGGCAATAGCTCAGGTTCTCTGATAAGAGTATAGGGGAGTATAGGGGCCCTTCTTTAGGACATCAAGCAGAGGAAATGGGGAGGGAGAAAGGGAGGAAGGGAAGGACGGAGGGAGGGAGGGGAGAAATTAATTTATAGATGTGTTGTGCAGCCTCTTCGTTGGTTATCAAAAATGCATTCCTTCAGGGAAAAGCTCTTAGGGCAGAGACACAGCAGTTTGCGGTGAGACAGCACAGTACACTTTAGTTTGGGAGATCATCTTAATTTCAATCTCCATGATGCAGTATGGAGTTCATTTGGGTGCCCTGAGCCCTCTGGCTCCCAGGGCCTGGATTTCATTGTTGTGAGTATTTACTGAGGCAACACGCTGGACCCACAAAGAGACTTTTGTTGCAGTTGTGGGGATTAGGGCAGCGTCTATGCCCCATGTGGCTGCCAACCACCCACTGCATCCCTTTGATGGGCACCTTCCCCAGTGAGATCACGCTTTGCCCAGCAGGCTCAAGTCTCATTAGGAATTCTCCCTAAATGATACAAGTAATCTCTTGCCTACAGCAATCCTGCTTCACCAAATATATGGGAGTATATTTTCAAACAACATCTTCTTGCTGGCTAACTAATCTCAAAATCTAGCTTGCCTACTCAAACAGATGGTTTGCTCTATTACCTATGCAGCATATTGTACTAATTTTATGTGGGCCTCAAAAGGCTGCACATCTACCCCCTGGAGCCTCTAATCTTTGGCCCAGTTGCAAACTGATCCTTTGGCACATCTGTTAGGCACTTGAGCCACGCCGCCGAGCAGGCAAGGCTTTGCCAACCGCAGTGGCTAGTGCTTCACTGTCACGCTGCCCCTGCACTGTTGTCTGGCCTGACACCCTCAGTGGATCATCTCCTGTGAAGAGACAGAGAAGAATAAATCCAGTGCCAGCCTTCAAAGAGATCCTAGCCAACCAGCAAAAGCTTGGGTCATCATCATCAACATCGCCAGCACGGGGCTTTAGAATCAGTGTACGAAGGACTCTGTGAGGTTCCGGGTCATAGGAGCACAGACAGCAGACACATCAGACTTCAACTTGAGATGAGACCTGAAGCCAGAGCCTGCTGAAGGCTTGGGGAATGTCTCTAGCAAGGCATTGTGGGAAGGGATGGGGGGACTAGTATCGGGGAGATTCGTTAGAAACCCCTAGATCATTTGAGTCAAGAAATATTGAGAACTGGGTTTATTTCAGTGATGGGTACAGTGGCAGTGGGCTTCAAAGCAATGCACAGAGCCAGGGGTTTTGTTTGAGAGGTGCCACAGTTACAAATGGTTCATTAGTTGTGAAGCTGAGTAGAGGAACCAAGTGTGGAGCCTGGCTTTTCTTTCTTGGCCACCGAGCTACATTCTGAAGTATAGTGGGCAACTTCTTGTTCCTGGAATCTGCCTGGAGGGAAGGAGATAAGGACAAAGTGAAGTGATCAGGCCATCTAGACAGGCATACCATTCCCCCCACCACCAGAAAGCTATGCCCCCTGGGGAATAGCTGGTCCAGCAGCTTTGGCTCCTGGGTCCTGGTGTCAGCCACAGCAACTGATTAATTCTTGCCCGTCAATTATAATGTTTGTGTGTGCATGTTCGTGTATTTGTTTAAACCCCTTGTTCTTCCTCCCCCACGGAGCAGGGAGCACTATCTTGCCCTGCCTCATCAGCAGTCTTCATTAACTCTCCGAGCACAGGTGCCTTGTTTTGATCAAGAAAACGAGCAACAACCACGGAAACCTCTGAGAAATATAGCTTGCTTCCACACATAGAGAAGGGGCTGAAAAGCATAACTTACCAATGTTTAAAAGCCTGTATAGAATGTAAGCTGTATTCCAGGACAAGGGCATTCCCATTCCAAACTCTGCCCCTTTCCTCTGCCTAGCACCTACACTTTCAAAGTTGTTGAGGCCTGGCATTTGCTTCAGGAGAAAGCCCATGTAGCTGTGCCCTGGGCTGTGGAAGGAGCAGCAGAATATGAGCATTAGACCCCCCAGGAAGCTGAAGGCAGGTGCCAGGAATGATGGCAGCATCACTCTCTGTCACCAGCAAGCTGATAGGCCCATGCAGAATTACAGCCACCGCTTATCATCCGTCATAGCAGCTCAGAAGTCCACATCAAGCACCTGCAGGTGTGTGCAGCCCCTCCTCCGGCAAGCCTGTGGGTGTATCTGTTCACCTCCACATCATGGAAAGATCACTCATCCACTTTCTAGGCTCTAAGCACAGCTTACTTTTCCAAGAAGTATCATGTCAGGGCCGCCAGCATGTTCTATTCCCTTCTGTATTTACTGATCGTGACCCAAGGGTCTGGAGATAACCCACCTAAACTCCAAGCTGACCTGTGAAGTGTGGTTCCCACAAACAGGGAGCCCATGCTCCCAGGACCAGGTATCAGCCAATAGTGTGGGAAGAGTGATCTCCCTGGTACAGACACGAAGGGCATTCAGCCATGGGTCTATGTCCTGTTAGCTATCTGGGTAAAATCAATCTCCATAGCGATAAGACATGCAGAAGTGTCATTTCCCATGTCCCCTGTGCAAGCAGGGCAGCCCCAGCAGGAAGCAGGCCACCTTCAGCATCAGAAGGGTTAGAGAGAAGGGAGAGCTGCATTGGGCACAGCCACACGGGTTCTGCTTCTGTAGGTGTCTGTACCACTGTGGAGAGGAGAATGATTCATCTCGAGGCCCAAGTTTAGCACGGGGAAGAAAGTAGGGCTTTGTAAATTTGAATCCCAGTTCTTCAAGTACCATCTGAGTGTCCTTAGATAAGTTGCCCAGCTTCTCAGAATTTTGTTGTTCTTTGCATGGGTTGTAATAACACTGACCTTGTGCTGTTTCTCTAAGGTTTAGGAAAAAGTCTTGTCTGTACTGCTGGTACATAGTAGGTACGTAAACGGTAGCTGCTACTTCTGTGCCTTCACCTGGCAGTGCTTAGAGATGTGTTTGCTTTCTGTTTTAGTGCCACCACAGACTTTGTGTGCAGATACTGAGTATGGCAACGGTATCAGCTCTAGGACTTGCCAGCGAACAAACCCTCAGAGCTGGCTGTAGATGGGCACAGTGTAGTCACATGCTTCCTGTAAAACGTTGTCTTGCAGAAGTCGATGGAGTCCAGAGTCCACGCTCCATCTTTCAGACCTGTGTCCTTCCCTAGCACTCCGCACCCTTGGGATTGTGGTGATAGCGTGTGCACTCAAGGGACTGAGGCAGAAGGATTTTGAGTTTGAGGCCATCCTGTGCTACATAATGAGACCCTGTCTCCAAAGTAAGACTGAGTGTGTGTGTGTGTGTGTGCATGTGTGTATGTTTGCTCACATGCCTGCAAATCATCAGCCTGCCATGTGGCCTCCCTGCCTCCATCCTTGTTCTGTAGACATGGTGGTCTCTTCTCACCCCATCCTGGACGCTACTGGCTGGGCCAAGCCTTGTCTTTACCTTGTCTCTCTGGGACAGGCACTTGGGTCTTCTTACTACATCTTCCTCCATATCCATTGACCCTGTCCCAGCAAGCAGGACAATGCAGTCACCCCAACTACATGTTCAAGTGCTGCCTCCCTTTCTGAGCCTCTCTGGATGTTCTTTTTGGTGTCCCAAACCCACTTCTCCTCCCCAAGCCAGGAGATGGTCGACACCACACACCTGCAAGCGGCTGGCATCCTGTAAGGCATAGTTCATCTCCTCCTCAGAGACAGTTCAATCCCTGGGATGTTTTCACCTGAGCTGGTGGGCATAATAGCTCTACCAGAGATTTACCTCATGTAGATGTTAGCCTGATCCTCAGCCCTCTCACCTGAGGACTTAGCTCAGCGCCTACTTTCTCAGCCTTCACTGCCCAGCCTCTCTCCTACGCCACTGAGAGGAAGGGTCTTGCAGTGGAAATTCCACAAAGGAAATGATGTTCGCATCCTGGCATTTATTCCTCTTGGCAGTGCCCAACAGCTGTTGACCATCTTTTGTGAAATCACTCAAAAATGGCAATTAAGTCACCCCTCAGATGTTGCCCTTTAAGAACGTGTAATCCCATTCCCGTGAGCGCTCCGATCATCCACTGTGTCAGGCCCTTTGTTAATCCACGCTGCTGCTAAGCATTCTAAGTGCACCTCTCTTCATTCCTCTCTGCGTGACATGGACCTGTTTTCATTGATGCACCAGGTCAGGTACAGCCCAGCCGGCCTCAGAAGAGCCTCTGGCTTTGGCTTTCCTAAGGGTCACCAAGGTGATGCCAGGAGCGTAGCCCGCAGGAGTCTGTCTGGAAAGGAAACCAGGGAAGGACACTTCCTACCTGTATCCAAGGAAATAATGTTTGTTATTACTGCTGTTGCTGTTACTATTAATTTTCCCTTGAAATGTGTGAGGCTGGCAGATAAGGCTGAGTTCTGTTTGCACACGAAGTGAGATGACTCATTTGAAGGCCTATTCTTGTCCGAAACAAAGGCTGTCTGTCCCCACCCCGCCTGCCACTGAACTTGCCGCGGGGACACAGTTCCTTTGGTACAGGGGTCCATTTCCTGATCTCATCCCGAGCATCCCTGGGCTTTGAGCACCGGGGCCAGTTCTGTGGACACCAGCTGGCCAGACCTGGTAGAGGAGCAGGACCTGTTTGCTGAGACCTGCTACTCCAGTGGTGCCTTTCCCCGAGTGGCCAGCCAGAACCACTGTCCTGGTCCCATGTGGTCAGTCAAGTCCGCTGAGGGTGTTCCAGGCCTTCTCCCAAAACTCAGGGGAGGCCAGCGGTCCCCCTGAAGGTGCCCCGAGGTGCAGACTCCTTCCTTCACCCACACCTCTGGGCCCAAAATTTACATAGCACTTGGCTGTTTACAATGGATTGACCCTATTAAATCATACATAGCAAGTGATGAAAAGGCCCAGTGATGGTGGCACTCAGCTTTCTTATGAGGAATATTCAGAAATCCCGCTGATTCTGAAGACCAAGGAGACCTGAAAAGGTAGCCCCTCTGTCTTCTTAGGTTCTCTCCCCACCTTCTGCCTACTAGTCATATCGAGAAACACTGGCCGTAGAAATTCAGACCCCGCCTTCCCGAATAACCCGTGTTTCTTCCCTAATAGGTGCTGTCTCCCCAGCCCATTGAAAGTGATCCTTGGCCAAAAGCCCATGTGGACTACACTTGGCCTTCAATTAATTGCATATTTCTATAACTTCTGTTGTCAATAGAGAAATTGTCGGGGGTTGGGGGTTGCTCTGGGGCTTAAGTTTATTCATGTGTGTGACTGCGTTCCTATGCCTATGCGCGGTTGCCAGATGACAACACTGGAGAGTCAGTTCTCACCTTCTGCCTTGCTAAAGCAGGGTCTCTCTTGTTTTCTGCTCACTGGCCCACAAATTTCAAGGCAGTTGTCCTATCTCTGCTTCCCCTCCCATGACAGGAGTTCTGGGATCGCAGAAGGCATGCCGCCACATCTAGCTTTGTTTTTTGTGTTGTTGGGTTTTTTTTGTTGTTGTTTTGTTTTGTTTTTTTTGTTTTTATTTTTATGAGATGGGGTTTCCTCTGTATTGTTCTGGAGGCTATCAGTCCAGCCCAGCCTCAAACTCACAGAGATCCGCCTGCCTCTGCCTCCCGAGTGCTGGGATTAAAGGTGTGCGCCACCACCGCCCGGCCCACATCTAGCTTTGTGTGAGGGTTCCAGGATGGAACTCTGGCCATCAGGCTTGAGTAGCTAAGGCTTTACCTACAGAACCATTTCCCTGCCCCAAGAAATGTGTTTTTATTCATTCAATCAAATAAAAGTATCTCCATAGAAACCCGCTCTCCTACCAGGGACATGGTGAGTGCTGGGATTGGCAGCTGGAGAGCTTCCATCCTTCAAGGAGACAGTCGTTCAGTCCCAAGTATGCCAGACACTGACCAAGCTGAGGACAAGGATGGAGCTCACCCAAGGAGGCAGGCTGCCTTCTTCTGGCTGAAGGCCAAGAAGCAAACCCTGGGCATGAATAGGGATTGTCTGGAAGGGGATAAAGAGGGGTGGGTTTGCTGTAAACAAACCTTCCTTGTGATGCTGAGGGAAGGCCAGCAGCTATCGATATACCGGATATGTAGTGATTTCATAGGCCAGTGAAGTCAGCAGGGCAAGAAAGCAGAACAGTTTCAGCCAGTGTAACCGCATTCAGAACCCTGCACAGAGCGATTTGGTGTGGGCCTATCCTGAGAACAGACGCCTGGGCTGAGCACAGTGTGCCCTGTTCCTGCAGCCAACGTCGCTGCCCGGTTCACAGACGTGTTGCCACACTCGCTTCCCCTTCTCCAGCAGGGAGCCAGGCTCCGTGGATTCTAGGAACGTTCCTGGACCCCCTCAACTTCACCTCAAAGCATTAAGAGCACCTGCTGCTCTGTGCCTGTGACTCCTCGGTTGCCATGGACACCTGTGTGCCTGTGACTCCTCTGTT